TAAATGTCAGCTGTCACCTTAGCGTTTCTAACAACGCCTGATGCTTTGAGAAGCCTCCGCGGTTGGGGGTGTTCGGGGTGGTCCCTGGAAGCAAGGAGCCCATTGCAGAACTTGTTCGGGTTTCCTCGAGCTGATCCGCTCGGTCCAAGCCCGGTACCTCCTGTTGTTTCTGTACAGGCGGCTCTCCTCTGAGCTCCTGTGTGCGGGCTGGGCTGCCCTTGTCTCCGCTCCCCCAAAGGGACAGGTCCTGTCCCCTCCACCCCCTCCGCCTCATGTGGGCTCTGCTTCTTCAGACCACCTTTGCCGCCCGCTCATCGCTGCCCTTGCGCTCGGCAGGGCGGTCTCCGATGTCACCTGCCCATCCCGCGCTCTGGAAGGTCCTTGCTCCCAGCCTTGTTAACTCCATGTGTCTCGTCTTCTCTCTCCCCTCCCCCAGACTTGGAGTCTAGACCTGAAATGAAGGAATCGGGTCCAAAGGAGGACATTGCGGAACACAGGCCATCCGTCGGGGCGGTGGCCGAGGGACCCACGAGAAATGGTGCCTGCGGCCTGGCCTTTGAAGGCGCGTGGACCCTGGGTGACTGGGTGGAGAGGAGGCAGCAGGGGGGCGCCAGGACCTGCCTGGGGCGGTCGGAGTTTTCTCAGGAGCTCGCCCCCGAGTGTCGTCGGGAACCTCAGGTCCTCACCCCCCAAAGCCCCAGCCTGTGCCCGCCACCATCGGCGGGTCCGGGGGAAGCAGGGTCCCAGCCGCGCGTGGTGCTCGGCGCAGACCTCAGCCAGCCCTCCAGACTGGACGCAGAGGAGAAGCCTTACGCGTGCGCCACGTGCGGCAAGGCCTTCAGCCGCAGCTCGTCCCTCGTGAAGCATCGGAGGACCCACACCGGGGAGAGGCCCTTCGAGTGTGACGAGTGCGGGAAGCACTTCATCGAGCGCTCGTCCCTCACCATCCACCGCAGGGTCCACACCGGGGAGAAGCCGTACCGCTGCGGGGACTGCGGCAAGGCTTTCAGCCAGCGCATGAACCTGACCGTGCACCAGCGCACGCACACGGGCGAGAAGCCGTACGCGTGCGCCGCGTGCGGGAAGGCCTTTCGCAAGACCTCGTCCCTGGCGCAGCACGAGCGCGTGCACACGGGCGAGCGGCCGTACGCGTGCGGGGACTGCGGCAAGGCCTTCAGCCAGAACATGCACCTGACCGTGCATCGGCGCACGCACACGGGCGAGAAGCCGTACGCGTGCGCCGAGTGCGGGCGCGCCTTCAGCCAGAACATGCACCTGACCGAGCACCGGCGCACGCACACGGGCGAGAAGCCGTTCCGCTGCGGGGACTGCGGCAAGGCCTTCAACAAGAGCTCGTCGCTGACGCTGCACCGGCGGAACCACACGGGCGAGAAGCCGTACGTGTGCGGCGAGTGCGGCAAGGCCTTCAGCCAGAGCTCCTACCTGATCCAGCACCAGCGCTTCCACATCGGGGTCAAGCCCTTCGAGTGCAACGCGTGTGGCAAGGCCTTCAGCAAGAACTCGTCGCTCACGCAGCACCGGCGGGTGCACACGGGCGAGAAGCCGTACGAGTGCTCCGTGTGCAGGAAGCACTTCACGGGCCGCTCGTCCCTGCTCGTGCACCAGACGGGCCACACCGGCGAGAAGCCGTACGCGTGCGGCGAGTGCGGCAAGGCCTTCAGCCAGAGCGCGTACCTCATCGAGCACCAGCGCATCCACACGGGCGAGAAGCCGTACCGCTGCGCCCAGT